CTTCGTGTGCAGCATAAACAGAAATCAGATTGACGGTGCTTTGCTGCAGTCTGGCAAATGCTACTGAGAGCCGATAAGGTTGGTGCTTTCATGCACAAAGGGCCATTATAAGAATAAAAACCACCTGATAACATCACTCTGATGGCAGGCGCCTCCGCTTCCCATAATCTGCATCCCTTGATCGAGACCTGTGATGTTCTTCTGGAACTGCTCGTGACCTGCTCCGGGATCTCGAAGGTTGTCCCCTGTCATAATCATCTTCATAACCTGGGTCACGCTCCTTGTGACGATATTCCCTATAACTATCCTTTTCTTCCCTGTACCTGTGATCCCTGTCATACCTGTCCCTATCATGCTCTCTCTCATCACGATGCCTTCTATCCGAACTCCCTGACCAGTCACGCTCAGAACCTCGTTCCTTCTCCGCGAAGCAGCACTTGACCGCACACCCTTATCATGGCTTGCCTCTCCATACCCATACTCAGAGGCATTGTCTTCACCACCATAACTTGACTCCCTTGTCCTTCGACCATGTTCTTCTCCGCCCCATCCCATGCTTGTGTCGGTCCACATTCCTGCGTGAGGTCCATCCATTCCTCCCGTCCCCATCATACCCATACCGTTAGCAGCCATTCCTCGCCCAAAAAAGGCAGGGTTGACATGAGGAGCCACCCCAGCAAGACCCATGTGATTAACAGCTGGAAATGGAGGGATCATCCCAGGGAAAGCAGGACCCGAAAAGCCTCCATACCCAGCTCCTCGACCCATATATGTCGGATCAAATCCGGGACCCATCATTGCCTGAGGATGCATTAAGCCAGTAGGAGGGCCACCAAAAGCAGGACCTGCAAGGCCCTGACCATAAGCTCCTCCAGTGACACCATTTCCACCACCTGGAGCATTCCCCATCATATTCTTCGCTCCAACAGTTCCTCTCCCTCTTCCAGGTACACCTACTGGAGCCTTATTGGGCATCCCCTGACCTCCTCGTCCAGCCCATCCTCCACGCCCAAAGTTTCTCCCAGCATCTCCACTGGGATAATTAGTTCCATTGCCCCTACCTGCACCATCGTTCATTGGTCTCCTACCCTGTGGCTGGGACTGGGACTGAGACTGGACTTGTGTCTTGTTCATGTAAGAAGCAGCCATCTGTTTAATGGTTTGTGGAGTAGCCAACGCCACCACACACGCTCGCCCATTAAAGACATGACCATTCATGCCTTCTTTACATGCAGCTGCTGCAGCAGGATCAGAGAATTCAACTTGGCAATAGCCTTTAGATTTTCCACTAGCTCTCTCATCAAAGAATTTAATCTCCTTGACCTTCCCATACTGGGTCAAAACACTCTCAAGCTCTGTGTCAGTAGTCCACCAATGCAGCTCTCCAACAAAGAGCATTGTATTCCCATTCTCTACAGCTGGTCTTACCTGGTTTTCAGTAACAACTGGGCGAATACTATTAACATTCGAACTTGAACTCATATGATTAGCTGGCACCTGCGGAATGACTCTGGGGGCACCCGCAACTGGATTTAGCAATGGCCCAGGCTCCCCTGTAACTTTTCCTGACATATCAAGTGACTCTACTCCAACCTTTTGTGACATAGCAACAGCCATGGACCCTTGATATCCCAAATTTCCAGCTTGAGAGTTATGAATAATCTCTGGAGCTCTTCCTTTCTGAGAAGCATCAGTGCCAGGGAGGGCACCTACATCAGATGCCAGTCCACTCTTCTGATCAGGAAATCGAACACCAGAGTTGGTATACTTTCCTTCAGTTGCAGATCGAGGGATGTTTACACCTTGCGTTACCACAGTTTCTGCTCTCGGATCCTGAACACTTGCTCTAGGAGCTGGGAATCCCCCATTGCCCACACCAAGAGGAGCCCGTGGTGTCTCAGACCGCTGCTGCTGCTGCATCTGCAGGAATCCCTCCCCAACGTTAACATCATTGTAGAGATCATCATATTCATCATCCTCATTGATCATCTCGTCCTCTGCAAGTGCAGGTATTGCTCCACCTCTATGATACTGCATCTTTTGACTCCCTCCGTATTCTTCATCTCCAAAGTCTAATTGCTCATCACCCCCTGGATCCATCAAATCTAACCTGAAACCCACTATTTAACTCCTCCTAACTGGGAAAAAAAAAAAAAAAAAAAGTCCACGGATTACTATTTTCCTGTACTGAAATTACTGCAGTAGATGGAATTGGAGGAACACATTTATTTGAGGTATATGACAAGTGTTGAGAAAGCACAGCTATAGAATTAATAAATTCACATATCTAAAATACGCAGAGCATCTCAGAACTAAAGTCTTACATTAATAACTAACATAAATGAACACTAGACATATGCGTGCATATCTTCAATTCAACACAATACCCAAAAGACGAGTAATGATTTGCCAAGTCCGCATCGTTGCAGCAATGATACAAGAGATCCAACACCCACAAAATCAAAATTGTAAGAACAAAGTTGTAGATCTCCTCCACAAGCCATCTAAGCAAAGCATCTACAACTACGGGTAAACCTTACTCCTATGTAAGTATTTGAGAACCGTGTACTAAAGTCAGCCGCCCCAAAACCCCGGGGGGGGGGGGGGTGGGTGGGGAATTGGCCCTTAGATCATGAGTATCACCAACTAGGATAACATCTTCTTACCTTTTTTTAGGACAAACTACAATAACATCTAATATTAATCCTATATAATAAGAGCAGTAGTAATACTTCTGATATGCAACCAAAAGGATCACAAACCCACATCCTAAAATCAACCCGAAAAAAAAAACAAAAACAAAAATCGCCAAGACCCACTTGATTATCACCAACAAGTGATAACAAACAACTTAAACGAAAATTTTCCAAAATATGTTCACTTGCTAGACAAAGCAAACGGAGCAAAGTCCAAGGAAAAAATATGTAGGGAGTAATTAAAATATTTTAGATGAGAAGGAAAAATGAACAAATTAGGATGATTAACTAATCGAGAAGCTCATGGATGATTTAAGTAGCATGATGGTTACCTAATCAAAAGACCCAAAAAGTTAGAAGAAGAAAGGAGTAAAAGGGCAAAGCATTCAGCAGTGACTAGGAAGCACGAATTACAAGAATGACGACGACGACGATGATGATGATGATGATGATGATGGGATTTGCTTAAACTCGAGACAGATGGGAATTTGGGGTAAAAGGATTTTCTTACTGTTTCTTTTTTTTGTCTTAGCTACCAACCCTCACTCAGTCATGTAAGCTGCAGGTAGCTGCCCCTTTTCCTCTCTCTCTCTCTCTATCTGCCTGTGGCTTCCTTCCCCTTTGATACGGAGTCCTCGACCAATTACGGCTAGTACACATATGGTCCCATACTGTATTGTAGTATTCCAATTTACAAGCTAGGCCTAATAGTGGTATGAAATTTTTTTTTTTTCTTTCCAAGAAGAGAAGAACACTTCTCATAATTATGGAAATTCCACTGGGGTTCTGTAAATTGCATTGGACCCCCTCAAGTTATAGTAGTGTTTTAACTTTCCTTGGCAAGAAACTCCTACGCTACAAGAAACTTCCCCATTTTTATTTCTTTCTTCGAATATTTATGCTACGTTTAAAAGTTGTGCATGTTATGTTATGTGCAGTAATTTATAGTCCTTAAGACGTATCCCAGTAATAACAAAAGTCAGTTAAAAGTCAAGAATTTAGTAGAACTACTCACTACCACGATATTCAGGACCAATTCGTCAGTCTGTTTGGTTTTACTTTTATCAAAATGTTCTACTTGTACCATAAAAACAGTAACCGCACAATTTGGGAGGGAAAAAAGAATTGATTTTTTTTTCTCTTTTTGGTTATTTATTCACAAAAATATGAGGAAATGAAGAGTTTGGAAATACACTCCATTAGAAAACTTAAAAGAGCCAATCAAAACAAAACCCTATATGTCAACTGTCCTCCTGCTGTGCCATATCATAAGGAAATTTTTTGAGTTGATTTCAAAGTCTTTTTGTAGAAAAATACTAAGGCTTTGTTTGAATTGCATTTTTTCTGAATTTTTTGTAGAAAAATTACTGTAACATTTTGATATATGTAACACAAAAAGATGATTAAAAAATATAGCAATTTTCAAAAAAAAAAAAAAATTACAATCCAAACACACCCTAAGTATTAATTACTAATACTTAGTTAGTATGGGAATTATAAAAAAAAAAAAATTCAATATAAAACTTGTCGTAGAGCATCACGTTGCGCGGGCTTTAATTAACCTTAGCTCTCCCTCACAAACGTAGCGAACTAAGGGTAACACCGCCTGTCAGGTTTATTCTTGAACTCCCCCACAATGATAATACTGCTGTTTAATACCTTCACAAATGTAAGAATCCAAAATCACTACTTCTACAGGACACAGAGATAGTTTGCTCAGGCCTTGTAGTACAGTAGTATTAAATTTCATCAGTGATGGTATACAAGGTTACGGAAAACTTTTAAAATCTCAACCCTGAATTTACAAGTATGGAAGACAGTTTCAAACCAAAATTCTAATACAACCGGTGACCCTATAGAGTGAGTTCTAAACAATTGAAATGAATTTAAAAAAACAAAAAACAAAAAACAAAAACCTACACCAAAACATATGAATTATTGCCCTTCTAAAACAAGATATACTTTCCTATAGAACTCAGCTAACCTGCACTCTCAGAGCAGAATCCACCTCAGTTGTTGGTGTCCGAACAATTCAGGAACCAGTCCAATGCATAATTGCCAGCTTAGGCCCACCAATAACAGACAACCAGTGCTTTCTACTGGCTCCCAGAAACTGTTTGAAAGAATACAAGAACCTCGTACTTTTGTTACAATTCTGACCGAAAGTCTATTGTACACTGCCTCCGGCAACCGGATCAGTCAAGCATACGTCAAAAGGCACTTCGACTTGTGAATTTCCAGAGGGAAAACCCAGAAATACACAAGGTTCAAATTTCAAAATGCCTTTTGCTTGAAATACCTGGACAGGAAATGCCATCAACATAATTGGACCGATGGTGTTCATATCAATACATCCCCTTGAAAACAGGATTCGTTCTGCATATGCTTGCCCCACACTCTTCATACTCAGCCTTTGTATGACAAGCCTGTGGCAGAAGTACATTGGTTGATATCGAAACAGTTAAACAAGATTCGGAACATATAATAGGTAAGGAAAAAGAAATGAGGCAGGAATGACCAACCTGAAAATCTTGAAATAGGCAACAAAGATAATCCTAATACATGTAATTTCTGTATGGACTGCATCCATATATGCTTAAACTTATAATTGCCTCCCCATTCCCTCTTTCCGGCACCCCAGAACTTTCATTCTATCTCTCTCTCTCCCTATAAACTAATATTGCCTCCCACCACACACTGACACCATTGCACAACAAGGAGAAGATAGAAAATTTAATGGGTTATGAATGAGGCTCAAAGCCTACGCATAGGAAGCCATGGTTCACAAAGGGCAACCCAAAAAAAAATTGTATAAATCTGAAATTGAACCTTCATTTTAAAGTTTTTGGCATCGTGAATCTTCTAATTTGATTTTATTGAATATACTATATGTGAATTTAAAGCGCCTTTTTGGTAGTTTAAGTACATTTGATAATCATATTAATGACTTCCAATAGTAGCAAATGTGGGGCTTCTATGTACCAAACAGGTTTCAGTTTTCCGTTTTAAGTTAAGAAGATGGGGTCACAGCTTCGGAAGTTGTAAACCATAGTCCTCAGGCTAGATAGATCCTAAGCAGCTTAATACTTGTACAAAACTGACACCAGGACAACAGGAACATCCAGAACAAATACATACTGCAAAAAATTCAGGGGTAGAGGCAAGTACAGAGCCTCCAAACCAAACGGCATATCTCTGGATTGGATGGCTGACAACATTGACTTCCACTGGTTGTGCCTGATAGGAAAAAGTGAATAAAGTCAAGCTTCCGAAACAAATGAAAAGGAGGTAATATGTACAGAAGCGCAATGAGAACACAAAGCATGAGTGCTCACTCTGACTTCTCCACCTAGGCGAGCATCTGATGAGAGCAGACGAGCATCAACAATTTTCTTTAGATCTCGTTGCAACCTTCGATTGAAGTCCTTGAACATGGTTGATCCTCCAGACAAAACAATGTTCTGACATGTAAAAATTTACAAATGCATATGATTAGCAAGTTCATAGGGGCATGAAATGAACTAAGAGGGAAACATTTGCACCATTAAGCAGCATCAAAACATCAACCAGGTTCTTGAACTCCACAATTATCTCAAACAAGTCACGGTATTTCGATATCTTCACGTGCAATAAAAATCTATCACCTGGTTTAGCCAAAGTATGTTATAAATTCTTTTTTTTGCTCCCCATCTCTAGTTTAATATCAATAGTGAACAAAGGCTGGACAATTCAGAGACAGGCTGGATAAAACTTGCTCAAACAATTCCAATTTAAAATGTAAGAAATATAGGTCAAAGCAAAACAGAATGTCAATCTCAATATGGTCGGGGATCTGAACAGTTGCACGCAACATGCTTCACATTTTCAACAACCCACAACATGAGTCCTATCAATTCCAGGAAGGTGTGAAACAGTGGTGTCCATTCCAGGAAGGTGTCAAAAAGTGGAAACCACTTGATATTAGACATTAGCACTCAAACTGCTTATTGTGTGCCAGACACAGGTAATCTTCCAACCCATTAAAACATCAACCAGGAAAGAAGTTTTTTCACGGGCTTGTAGTTCATTTTACCTTGTACAAAGCCCTCCTTGTGTCTATTGGAGCAGACTGGATACATTTGTCAATGACATCCGGCAAAGGGGTTGTAAAATCACTACTGTAAATCTCAGGGTTAAAGAAGACCTGCATAAGAAAACAAATCAGTCATAAGCAACGTTTTCAGTCAACCTTATCACAAATGACTTGTCCTAATTCAACCATTGGCATGACTCATCATGATGGTTTGCTTCTTTGAGATGTTTAATTGTGTGTAAAATCTTACAACAAAAATGCATCTGGGAGTTCAGGACAAGGTAACCTCAAAGAGTATGTAAAAAGCAGCTAGAAAACCTTTGCATATGAACTAGCAAGTGTAAAACAATAACAACGGGATGGTGCAGGAAACATCCCATATTTATTCATTTAAGTGATAAAGAGACAATTCGGTGACTGCTTTTTATACATACAGGAATCCTCCCGGAGACCAGGGAAAACATATTTCCAGCATGCAGCTTACATTTTCTGTTAATGGAGGAACTTATAGGACATAGAAATGCAGTATGATGCATAAACATGGCCAAACAGCATATCAATTTGATCATTTTGCATGTTACAACATCATGCTAATACTTCGAATAATCAAGAAATCGATGCCAGGACAAAGCAAACCTCAGGGCCAAGAAATCTTTCATAACCAATGTCGCATGAGTAAGGTGCCCCAGTCTTTGGTTTGATACCTCTCCACTGTTTGATGTACTTTGCTGGCTCCTTGTCATGTTTATTATACTCCTGAAGCCATTAAAAGATGAATACTATCAAATCCAATTCCCAAGGATGTGTATAATTGGTAATAACCTAAAAAAGGGTTTCAAGTTGACCTGTTTAAACTAGCTCAGTGCACGGATCCTACCTTGACAATATCTGAACAAGTATAACAATATGCTTCCTTCACTTTTCGCGCTACTTCAAAGGAATCCTCTGGAGGAACATGCTCTCCTCTTTCCTACACATGGCACATAAGAACCAGAAACTTGAACTATTGGATGAATCCTTGGTCGCATATCTAACATTACATACATTATGTCATGTGTGCTCTGTAGAAATTAGCCACAAAGCACTACAGAGTTCACAAAGTTAGAACAGCAAACAAGTGACAAGGGTCAATTGAGGAAGTAAGAGACTAACTTACGTCTAACAGATGAAAAATCTATATCCTGATGAGAAAACACACATAGCAGGACAATCAATGGCAACATACCCGCATGAGCTGTTGAATGAAGAGAGTGACATCTCTCCCTGAGACGGGAATTGACTTAATGCTGCTCCCAATCACATAACCCTCAGCAACAGGAACAACATGAGTAGCCCCATCGCCAACATCCACTACAACACCAGTCATCTCACACTAAAGGAAGCTTAGAATCGTAGATGATAAGAGGATTGGTACGAGATATACATGGTTATATGCAAACATATGCTTATATAGGGCATATCATGGATGTTTCTTAAATATGAAAACCAGAATACATTAAATTTTCAGAGTAATTTATCTAAACACCTTGCGGAATGCTTCCAAAATTTGAACTCAACAATATATCCAGCTCAAGCTCACCATGCAATACAACAAGCTACAGATTTTGAACTAAAAGAAAACAAAAAAAAAAACTGATGGCAAAAAATCCAATGTGCACATGTGAAGTAAGTGGCCATGTAACTCAGACAGTATAATAGCTCTATTACTTTCTGAAAAACAGCAGCTTAAAAGAACCTTCAAATGGCAAAAGGCAAAAAGATATGTTTAAAAGCGTGATACCTTTCCACCGTTTCCAAGATAGATGAAAAATTAGGATACTTGACCCAAGATATTAGACTCAATCCATGACTAAATGTACAAGGCATAAGCAAGTAGCTGCTGTTCTTTGACAAAATCTTGGACATGTAACTAATGAGTGATGCTGGGACGGCGAAAGCCTTGTTTGGAATTTGAGTAAACAAGTACAAAGCAAAAAGAAACAGCCGTCAGCTAAATACAATTTATGAGGTCCAAATATTGTCAGTCATACACACAAGGAACTGACGTATTCAGTCAAGCTACAAATGATATTTTTGCAAGTCTTTAGCCAAGCTCAAGCTAATCTTCAAAGTTAAAGATTTTAACATCTGACAAAGAACAAATTCCTCCGAGTGAATTAAAATTTCATTATTTCCAATCCAAATAACACTTTGAGATTATGACGCCATATTCATATGTAATTCAACTGAAAGTGTTACCCGAATCACATAACTTATGCTTCAGTAAAAGCATAGCAGTTATCCATTTTCCAAAATGCCCCAAAGATGCCATTGAGTATCAAGATTTTGCAACACTTCAAAAGAGACCTTATTTCTCAAATATGCGTCAAAGTCGTAGCTTTTACAAATCTAAGATTGTTCACAAGCAAACATATGATCACAAGCGGTAAATAGGAACTATCATTCTCCTTCGTTTATTCTTTGATGAACCACAAGTCACCCTTATTTATCCCAATGAGAACAAGTATACTCTCCTCAAGAATTGCAACACTTAAAAACTCAATAAGATTGAAAACCAACCTTGGATGTGGTGTACCCTGCAGCTAAAGCCAGCACCGGCTGCACCGCAATGTAAAGCCCCGGAACGTTGAACGTTTCAAACATAATCTCACCAGTATATTCCCGGCTCTCAGGCGCAGTCAATGGACTTTCAGTCAACAAAAAGTAATGATCTTCAGGATCGCATCTTAGGTAATTGAATATACACTGTTGCCAAAACCTTTCCATTGCATCCCAATTATCAACTTGGCCGCGCTTAATTGGATAACTAAGGTTATAAGTAGTATTAGATTTAGATCTGGATAGCGCTTCTTCCCCTATACAAAAATCCAGATCCGCCATCACCCCAGCGCTATACTGGGCTAACCAATTATTGCTCTTTGTGGAAGCCGCCCGAGACTGGTTCACAAACGAATCATTCACTGCTACTACTGTTGGCACTATGAAACACGGCTCTACATTTCCAGCAAAGCCCATTTTAGTATACCTAAGGAAAAAAAGAAAACCCAAAAAAAAAAAAAAACAATGAAGAGATTAGCTAAATTTCATTCAGGAATTTCATCAAACAGTTAGGGGTCGTCTGTTTAATCGGAATAAAGGTTAAAGAAAGGAAGGAGTACCCGGTGCCGTTGTCGATGACGACAGCAGGGCGAGAGGTAGCAGGGTCCATGAGAGAGAGAAGAAGAGAGAGCGGGAGGAGAGAGAGAGCTAAGACGGTGGTGGATCTGCGGCTGAGATCCAAGGAGGGGTTTAAGGGAGCTGATCATGGTCGTTGAAAAGGAAAGGGTGCGGTGGGTAAACCAAACGACAACGTTTGATTTAGGAAAGAGTGGTGATTACTCAACAAGAAGAAGGGGGAGAAGGAGAAGAGTGGGTTGTTGGAGAAGTTGAAAATGGCGATGGTGGTGGCATTCATTTTGTTCCATTTCATCGAAAAGGGCAGCTAGGATTGTGGATCATCCTCATCATCATCATCATCATTTCAGTCGGAACCAGGAGTCAGTGAGCAAGCGCAGACTCCTCCCTTCGTTTTTGTGCGTGTTTCTTTTTCTTTCCCCCGTTTTTTGCCTTTTTTTTTTTTTCCCCTCTTTTTTTGGTTCCTTTTGCTTTTCTTAGAGTGGGATGGATGATCTTTGATAGGGTGCTTTTCTTAGCAATCAAACAACGCAACCACCAGCCTTCTGCGGGGAAGAGTTCTGTTTTTGTTGTTTTTGTCGCGGACCGTTGGATTTGGGAATGAGTGCGTTGGATTCTAAGTCGGGACCTTGGGACCTGGTCGGCGGTGTCGGCTATTGGCATGATGGCCCACGTCAACTCTTTGGGGGGCTGCCTTGTCTGGTTCACTTTTTGGTGCCTCCTTGACAAGCTTGACTTCGAGTACTATTCCTCTCCAAGCTCATACAATACAAATACAAATACAAATACAAGTCGCAACTCTCTATTCTATGTATTACACTCCACTAGAAAGTAGTAGTAATACATAGAAATATATGCATTTTTCCCTGAAAGAAATAAAAAAAAACCCAAAAAATGTAAGGTTCAGTTCAACGAATAGATTGTTAAGTCTCAAGCCGAGATTAGTTCGAGCCCAAGTCAAATCAATCTCTAAGTTGAGTCAAATTAAAGTTTGCATGTATTTATGGTGCCACCTTTGACACTGAGACGAGAACCAATTTAAATAGTTGTCCAATTATACAAATTGAAGATTAAATGCAGTTGTAGAAGTTTGCACTAGAGAACAAATTAGTATCTTGCTTTGATTGCCAATTTTTCTCAGAAAATTTTTTTGTGAACGTATTTTTTATTATATTTTTATCTCGTGTATATTAAATCAATATACTATATATTTTTCTATAAAATTTTCAAAAAATAGCAATCCAAACCGGCTCTAATTTTTTGTGCTAGTTTTGGAATGGTACAATTTCAAGTTTGAAGTAGGTCAAAGGGCACAATACAGCGCATAAGACAAATGGTGCAATCTAATTTGGGCCGAATGAATGAAGGCGCGCTTTACATGGGGAGGTAAGGTTGCCGCGGACTTAAAACTCTAACCATTAAAGCCCAAAATCTGTTGAAAGCTGTACCGTAGAGCTATCAGCCCACAAGAAACCAGCAAATTTGTGTGCGCCACTTCAATTCAACTTCTATCCAAATCTAAGTCTGAATGGTCACCTACAAGGCTACAACGAGCAGCTTTTTCTCTAAGTGAGCGCGGCCTTAACATCAAAGTGAATGGGCCAAGTTTTGACAAAACCAAGCGAAATTACTGCAGATTTTTGACAGACAGGTTCCCATCCGCATCTGCAACAGGCATAGATCACACAGGTGAGGCGAAGGAGAAACAGAGAGATTATGAGGACCAAATGCTGCAGCGCATTTCACTCTGTTGTGTTGTGCTGCCGTTTTTTTTTAACGATTGCTCAATCTAAAACAGGAGGGCCTTCAGCGGATATCCCAAGACAATTCAAGTCCAATGCAGCATCAAATTCTGTCAGTTACTACTAGCATTACTATTTACTTGGTTACGTCGCCAGCATTTCCAAAGGAAAATAGAGAAAGAATTCGTCGTCATAAAATGAAAATGTTCATAGGCACGTGTAAACTTGACTAAAGTAAGCAGATATTATTCTCGTGACGTGACATTTTATCACTTTTATCGTTTAACATGTTGTTAAACTTGATCAAATTTGAGGGAATCGAAAAGGATTGAATTTGACGGTAAGACGAGGGGGATTAAAAAAAAACTTGATCAAACGAATTGTGTACAATATGCTGTAGTACGAACACGTCAAGAAGACACATCTCCATCTGCATGTTTAGAAGCTTGTCCTTTGTCGAAAAGCTGGAAAAAAGACCCTAAGCCCAAAAGGCCCCCCCCCCCCCCCCCCAACAAAAAAAAAAAAAAAAGAAGAAGCTACTATTACAACAAACACTTGATGCAAATCACAACCACCAAACCAATGACATTCATTGTGTGAAAGAAGTACTAATTGGCTTGTGGTGTCCTAACGCCTTGTCCCGACATTTTGTAATTTCTGTTTTCCCTTTTTGCCTCTCATCATTTGATTCTGTTTCTCTTCCTTCTTCGACGGAGTTATTCCACAGTAAGAATCCAACAACAACGGGCCAAGAGAAATTGATTTGGGTAGGAAAAAAAAAAAAAAGCCCATGTGGACAATACACAAGTGGATGGACCAATAATGCTGATAGAAAATGATTGTGTCTGCCTGCCCAACCACATTAATTTGTGAACGAGCTTTATCAATTGTGTCTAGGTGATTTGTCAATTGAAAAATCAATACTTCAAAAAAAAATTGAATGAACGAATGATAGCCCGTCAGAATCACCTGCTCTTGGACTGGTGGTCACCGTTAAACTCTTAAGTATAGTTGTCAAAATCGCGTCGGATAACCAAAATCGATCCGGATCGTATGCAGAGTCGCAAATTATATTAATCTTTGTAGGATCGCATATAGAATCGTAGCAGGATCGGTAGGATCGTACGATCCTACATTTTTTTTTTTGTAAATTTGTGAAATACGAAGCTTCATTTTGCAAATAAATGAAAATATTTGTGGTATATTTGTAATTTATCAAAGAATTGCAACCTTTAATTGCAATTAAGAGTTTTTGGTAGGATCTTACGATTCTACGATCCGATCATGTGAAACTAAAATCGATCCTACATAAGATCCCGATTTTACAAACCTTGCTCTTAAGGCTTTAGTAGGATGGGAGGCAATATTATCAAAATGTCACTCTTGTAATTCTGCTTCAAATTCAGACAGTTTAGTGGTGATTCTATTCCCATCGATCTCTTGTAGGCTTAATTAAATCTCTCCGTAATTAGAATAGAAATAAAAGAGAAATGACAATTGACAAAAAAGAATGATAGCCCCGTCAGCTTGTTACAATGAAAAATACTAGTCAAAATTCATTTACCTTCAAGCTTTAGTAAAAGCATCTTCTAGTATACTTTCATTTAATGCGTTTAATTATTCTCTCTTCCAATATCCCTCTCACTTCCTCCTCTTGATTGATTTTGGAATTTTTATGTACGTACATTTCTTGTGCACTTTTCTTATTCAGTTGGGAATATGCGTACCAAGCGAGTAGCTTCTGGTTAGTCAAAGGACAGAGACTCGAAACATTTTTTTCAAATAGTTACATAAATGGTTACATGGCTTTTTTTTTTTTTTTTTTCCTCATAGCAGAGACACCATTTATATTCTGTGAAGGCCATGGTTACGTTGCCGCCCCTTTCTCAGTCTTCATCATTACCCAAACAACTGCGCGCGTTAGCTGTCCGCTTTTGGTCATTACCCTTACCAGCAGCCAAAATCCAACACTTGAGCCAACCAGACCTACCTACCCGATAGGCCAAAATTTGCTCATCCTACTCCTACCATGGAATCCGCGTTTGCTTGGATAAGAGGTCCTTCCTTTCGAGGGTTCAAACGTTATCTCTTACCAAAAAATATTATATTTAAATAATTTATTTTTATAAAATTCAGACGAATATATTATGCATTCGTCTGATTCGGTGATAATTCAATCCCTTTCGAATTATTTCTAGATTCATAAAATAGTAAAAAAAGTTTACAACTATCCTATTAAAATCGTTACTTTAAGACTACTGTTTGATGGGAGTAGACTCGTTTATACGGTGGTGTAATTACTACAGCATGCATTAATAAAAATTTTCACCGCATTATTATCGTATCCTGGCTCCGGCTAACCTACGCACCCCCATCCTGAGTCTACCACGAATTTCAGTAGCAAGAGTAGTAGGAGCTGCAGTACTCTATCACTGACCACTGAAATAAATGATGATGATGGATCTGTAAACTCTCTCTCGGCTCGGCTCAGCTCAGCTCAGCTCAGCATTCTGACAAACACCTAATCAGCATTCACCACTATCCCTCCGTCTCTCTCTCCCTCTCTCCAATTCCATAAACATAAAAGTAAAGCTTTACTCGCCCCTTTTCCCTCTCTCTTACTCATCGTCATATATTGTGATCTTATGTCATATCCCAAACGTTTCGGAAGTATCGCCCAATCGATCTCCGCGATCGGGTGTCGCTTTCTAGAAGAACTGCTTCTTTCCGCGAAACGCTGCCGTTTCAGAGATCGGAGCTACTATTCCCTTCGGCCAGACAAATGTGCTTCAATTAGGGCAGCAGATCACTGATATTCTTTGTTGAGAGAAACGGGGAAAAGGAATATGAATCCCCTGTGCTGCATTGCTCCGGTTTCAGTCGATCGAGATCGGGCTAATCCGACTGTGGTGAAGTCGCAGAGCGAATCGTTAGGGGTGGGGAATGCTGTGGCTGCAAAACCCCTGGGTTTTAACTCGAGGCAGAGTTTTTCTACTTCTCGGATTTCGTCGGTGAATGGGGATTCCGATTTACCTGCAAACTGTAATAATAATAATGTCAGCAGTAATAATAACTCCGACGGTCTTGTTGATCAAAATGTGGGCGAAGGAAAGGACGCAAAGGCAGTGTACAGTGGGAATGTGAACGTGGCTGGGGTGTTGTACAAGTGGGTGAACTATGGGAAGGGGTGGAGAGCTAGGTGGTTTGTGCTGGAAGATGGCGTGCTGTCGTACTATAAAGTTCACGGGCCGGATAAGATCGTGATCAATCCTGGGAGAGAGAAGGGCGCGAAGGTTATTGGGGAGGAATCCTGGAGGTATATGAGGAAAGCAAGTTGTATTGGGGGTTATCAGCATCGAGTTAACGGGACTGTTAAACAGTGGAAACCCTTTGGTGAAGTGCATTTGAAGGTTTGCTTTTCGTTGGCTTATTTGTTTAATGGGTATCATTAGCATTCTTACTGAAGTGTGTTTGTTTTCCCCATTCACGGTGATTCGTATGTGTGGATGAGATGGTACATACAAATATAACATTCTAGCCTTCGAAAATTATCTGGATGTAGCCCTGTTTGGGACTCAGGATTTTACGTTGATGACTGTGCATTTTTGTTTGATCCATGTACTGGAAAAGAATTTGGTTGTCGTAATGTTTGAAGAGAACCAGCTGCAGACTTATAACAAGGTCGTATCCTCGATGTACGCATCTGATGGCTTTGCAGTTTAACCTTTGGTAGAGTTCAGCTTTAAAAACAAAATATGAGCGAACATTATTACTG